GTAGAACGCTTTCGCTAAAGCGAAAAAGTATCAAACTGTAGCAAATCGCCGTATTATCTAAAGCCTCGCTGACCGAGATGTTGTTTTTCCGTATTAATGTAATCAATATCCATTACTGAGTCATTTATGAGTGTTTTTACGTAAACAATATTATGGACCAAAAAAGCTCCTGTGCTTTCCTTTGTATGCATCAATCTTTCTCATACATCTTGAAATTTATTTGAACCTCAAAGTTGTTGGATTGTTGTATATTTTTCTTAAATAATCAACGAAAACTATTTAGATTACAAACACATAAGTGAGTCAACGCTGACCTAATTTCTTGCATTGTGATAAATAGTTATTGCGAAAACACATCTGCTTTAAATTGCCCTAATCTCATAATTTAATAATTAATTCCGAATATTTTGAGCATTTTTGAAATTAATTTAGACATTTTTTTTTTTCAATGTATAAAACCCCTATTTTTTTGTTTTTCGATATTAAGTTTTGAAGTCGGTTTTAGTGCTTTTTTGTTACCTAATCATCTGTTATGGCTTTATAAACTTAAAGCTCGATTACTTGGGAAATTGGCATTGTAATAGGTATGGGTATCGTTCATGCGGGACTATTCTGCTAATGTTTACACAATGATCGCATCTCAATAGAATCTTGCATTTTGCCGTTTAACTGTCTACCTGAAGTCCAATATTATTATATATCTGTCACTGATGTGTGACGAGAACATTACACTGATAATATCGGACTTTAGGTAGATAGTAGTACAAAGGTAAAATTTGAGAACAGCAGAATTAACCTGCACGCTACATGAACCTAAGTGCAACGATAATATTAATCTGAGAATTCAAAAAGTCTCATTGTTTGTATCTTGATTCTAATAAATAAACTCCTTGATTCCAACTTACTTAATTGATTTAATCCTTTGACACATCCGCTAGGTGCCGCACAATGCATGTCCTAACTTTAAGAGTTGCTTAAAGTGGTTAGGTAGCTCCTTGTCATTGGTGAAACGCATTTTGACAATGCCCAAATGTTTAGAGGTGTTAGATCTGGGCGACGCCTAAGTTTAGTGAAAACGGGCATTTATAGGGTCGTAAAGCCTCATTCCAATTGCATTAAATATGGATATTTTACATTGTATGTTACCTCTCAAAACCATTGATAGGAGCTCTTATCTGTTAAATGTTTCAAATACCACATTTTCATACAAAACAATGAGAAAAAAAAACCTTCGACAGTGGTGTTAAAATAAATATACAGAGCTTTACTGATTATTCACTCAACCTTTTGTTATGATTCCTTAAACATTATCATGAAATATACCACGTTAATCTATTGTTGTATTGTTATTTTTATTTCTCCCTTTTTTCTTAGAAAATCATTGCACATTAATATTTATTGGCAAAGCTGATTATTGCAATACGTTCTTTTAATATATGTATTTATTTTGCGAATGAATATAGAGTCTGTGTGGCAATGGTCGCACCTCCTGCCGCCACTGGCCTCCCGACTCAGAAATAATCTGAGACTCTGAAAATAAATTGTTCTTACATTTTAGATTTACAAATATGTACTTGGTATGAAGTATTGTTGTCATAGGGAAGTTGTTAATACTTATTGCAGCATTTGTCATTTTCGCACTTCCCATGTTTTTAGGACTTATAAGTTAATATTGAATAAGAAAATTTGATTGATAGTCAGGTTAGAAATAAATATGCTTCTCCTGATCAAGTATAATAGGAAGAAACCCAAAACATTTATTTTGCCAATTGAGAAACTTTGCAAAATCATCACCAGGCTATTGATGTCCCCACTACTGGCGCTCAGGGAAGCCTGAGCTGTGGATGGAATCGGATCGGATAGGGAGAGTTATATTGTTAACTGCAATGAATTATTTTCAAAGAATGCATATTGGCAAACAGTAATTATACTTTGTGCTATTTTATTAATATTTAATGATGGTTAGATGCAGTGAAAGTTTTTTTTTAATAATACGTCAAATGAGTTGTATAGAGAAAGTTTTTACTTATAAATATCTGGGTAATCAAATTATAAATTATGAAGAAGGCATGACATAACTAAATTTAATTTACAAATTATTTTAAATTTTAACCAGTAATTAAAGAATTTTTGCACTTCAAAGTTTTTTAATGTCTTTACTAACTGATTCAACGATTCACATATTATCAAAAGTCGAAGATAGGTACTTTAAGAAGATCAACAAGTTCTAGAATTTTTTAGGTAGTGTGTAATTATTAAGCTTATAAAAACATCATTGTCATTCTAAATTTATTGTTCCGTTTGAATTTGATTTTTTACCTATAGTCTATCCGAATTCTATACAGAATGTTTACCAATAAACTATTACCGAGCAACCAATAACAGGCACGGTAAGTTTGAGTTTTCCACCCAAAATTTGGTTTCTTATTATTGGTTTAATTAAAAAAATATAATTCAATTTTTCGAAATTATTTGGTTTTTGTTGGGATCATTTTAGTTTTCTTTCTTTGTTTCTATCTCAAATAGAGTACATGAACTTAAGACCTATGAAATAAAATAAAATCCCACCAAAAATATATTATAAAAATGGATGTCTCAATTAACTTGGTTTACATTGAATTGGCAACTTTGCGTGGCTTGTATGTTTCTTGTGTTTCGTGGGATGTTTATATTTGACGAACAAATATAAAATCCAAAGTGACGTTGCTAACATATCAACTTATCCATGTTAACAAGATTTACGAATCGCCTGCTTTAAAATATTATTATTATGGAAGTATAAAGAAAACTTTAAAAAGAGGTATTTTAACACAAAAGATATGTGCTACCTTTTTGTCTTCACAAGAATAAAGATAATTATATAGAAAAATAAAAAATAGGCCGGGCGCTCGACCTGTTCTGTTAATGAAGCGCCTAACCTACGTAATGTGATATAAAAGAGGAGTTGCCCACCAGCCCATCATTAGAGTGTTTCCTGAGTCTTCGTCGCGAGAGGTCGTGCGCGCTCCGTTGCTCCTAGCTTCGTCGAGCCCCACCTTACGTCCCGAAGTTCCTCGGACACTCGTCAGTGTCGCTCGCGTCGCCGCGAGTGACCCCCACCCAGCAACCCAAGGATTGCAGTGATCCCGCGATAGAGACGCCATCTGTGTTTGTTATCTTTGTGTTGTTTAGTGGATACCCACATTTTTTAGTTATTAAAAATCGTGCTATCCACCCTCAAGCCGCCACCATTTTCATTCTGCATCCATCGTATTCACGGACTACATGGATTCCCCAACTGGAAAACCGCCCGACTACGGACGCAGAAGCCAAGAAGGCATCCTCACCCAGATACCCAAGCCAGCGCCTAGAACCCTAGGAGCAATGGCTACTACTACCAAAGGAAATGAGAGAGCGGTTTCTCCGAAACAGGACTCCCTCATTCCTCCATCACAAAAAATGCATCCTCGAGATCCTCGCCGCCACAGGATGGAACGCGACTCGGACGACTCCGATGTTATCCTAGGAGGAGACGAGAAACGCCCTCGCATAACATCACCATCACCACATCACGATTACCAATTGGACTCGGACGACGACTACCGCTCCGACTCCACCAACCTGACGCAGTCACGCCCCCACTCACGAGAGGGCTACGCGTCTACATCGTATGCCACAATACCACGCCCGTCAACCAGTCGGACATACGCCCAGATGGCCGCCAAACCGGCCTCGCCTACCTCTTCACACACGCCGCCACTACCGGATGACAAGAAAGTCAACGAACCCAAGGGGTTTCCGCCAATAGTTGCGGAATCCCTACCAAACTGGACTGACCACTTCTACAAACTGAAGAACCTTTTAGGGTTTTCCCCGAATGCCCGTCCATTCGGCAAGGGGATCAGATTTTTACCAAAATCTGAAAGGGAATATCACACAATCCACGAGTACCTCACTAAAGCTGGAGAAGAATCCCATATTGTGTGGTACTCTTATTCTCTACCAAACGAGATTCCCATTAAGATCGCAATTAAAGGACTTCCGGCCGACACCTCAACCCTCGACATCATCGAAGCCCTTAAGGATATGGGTTTCTCACCCACATCAGCCAAACTAATTCCAGCTAGAAGAGCCAGATCCGGTTCACTGTTCCACGTACAGATGACACACATGGATCGCCCAACCCTACGGCGTCTTTATGAAACCGAGGTGCTGCTGAATATGCCCGGCATCATCATTGAGGCGTGGAGACCCAAGAAAGGGCCCGCCCAATGCCACCGATGCCAGGCTTTCGGCCACAACTCCGCCAACTGCCACCGCCCGAAGAAGTGCGTCAGATGCGCCGGCGACCACTCACCAGCCAACTGCCCACGTGATAGAAACCAACCGGCCACGTGCGCAAACTGTGGCCTGGACCACCCAGCCAATAGCCGCAGGTGCAAGATGTTCCTGAAAGAAGCCAGACGATTAGGAACTCGCATCCAGCCACCCATACCATCGTCCACCAAAGCAACCATCTCTCGACCCTTCACCACGCTACCCGTTACTCAAGCCCCCACGCCGCCTACTACGTTAGCCCCCCCGGCTAACCCTCCTCCGACAAGAGGACAACCGGCTTCGACTCGTAAGAGAAGAGGTAGAAGAAAGAGGCGCACTGCGGCTACCAAACTAGTCCCAGAAGCAGCCTCTTCGCCCACCCTGCAACCCAGGACCAAAGCCGGTCGACGAGACCGACCCCGTGAGCCACCACCACCACCACCACTCCATCACCCCCAGACGACATCAAACCACCCAGCCAGACCAAGACAGCCTAAGGACGACCCAAACTTCTTCCCGGTCCCCTTTGTCCCCTGTCCCTACGGTCGCAAACTACCCCCTCAAGATTCCCCTTATCAACATCATATCACCACCATCAAAAAGCTCCTGTCCGCGGTGATAGTCGAGCTCGAAGCGGGAGTCGACCCCGTCCGGGCCACCATCAACGCCCTGACGGGACTGATTGCCCACCTCTCCTCACTACAATGAGCACACATTGCCCGCTCGCAGGCGCTCACCCGGCCTCCCCCAACGGGGTCTCACCGGGTGGGCTGACCGCGCCGAGGGCAAGCCTCCATCCACGTGCCTGCAATAGGCTCCCCAATCACCGAGGGGCCGTCGCCCCGGAGAGGACAGCCCGGGAAAGAGCAACCGCTCGGCCCGAAAACCGCCGCAAGGCGAAGAAAACCGAGTTGGAGCCCATCATTACTTCGACACTCATCGGCGTCATAACACGTGTCGTAGCTCTTGCTCCGCGCTCAGTTTTCCAACTTTGTCTATACAAGATAGCCAGAATGTATTTTTGTATCAGTCAACTATATGATTGGTTGCATCATAAATCTGTGCCGACGGTTGACACTGGAAGCATTGCAGAGCAACCGCCGATAACACCGCCGTCGGCACCGCCCAAGATTCCAATAGAAGAATTTGTGCATCATCTTCAGAAATACATACTTACTAAAGCTACGATGTTGTCTCGTGGTTATCCAGTAGAAATAGACAGCAATTTAACAAAAGCAATTATGTATGTAAACCCGCCTACCCGTAATAAACTTTGGAAGCCGACTTATTGGGATGTGAACGCCAGTGAATTCGTGCCCCGCTCACAAAATGACCAACGGCCGCTGACTTCCTTGAATGCAGACGCTCCTACCTTTGTACCGGGCTCGCAATGGGACGTTAACATTCCCGAAGTTGTACCCGGCCCTCAAACTGACAGTGGACGAAATTCTTGGAGTTCTACACCTAGCTCCGATAGTGATGAAGAAATGAACACAGTGGAACATATTTGTGTACGCTGTGATAGAAAATTCAAAATGACTCATGATGGGGACTATTTACGGAAAGAGTCGTGCCTCTATCACTGGGGTCGTCTTGCTGGAAACAAATTTGAATGTTGTTCTAAATATGTGGGGGCTAATGGCTGTACTACGTCTCGTTCTCATGTATGGAGTGGCACAAAACCCGGGATGAACGGACCTCTCGATGGATATGTGCGTGCGCGACATCGCCGTGGTGGAGCTTATACACTAGACACAGAAATGTGTTACACGACCGCTGGCTTCGAATTGGCCTCGATAGTTTTCATAGCGATCGATGGTCACATTGTTTACAAAGAGTATGTGAAACCCACCTCGCCAGTTGTTGATTATAATACTCGTTTCTCCGGTATTCAACCCCACCATCTACAAACAGCTACGAAGACACTGAAAGACGTGCAAAACGAGATACTTGAATTTGTGGGCACGGACACAATTTTGATTGGTCACGCATTAGAGAACGATCTCAAGGCGTTAAAGTTGCTTCACAACGCTGTGGTGGATACGAGCGATTTGTATCCGCACCCAAGAGGATTTCCTTTGCGTCGATCTCTACGTACTTTATCGATCGAAATACTCGGACGTCCAGTCAAGGATAGAAAAAGTGGTGGTCATTCACCTGTGGAGGATGCCCGTACAGCTTTAGACTTAGTGTTTGTGTTGGTAGATCGAGATCGAGCGACTGCCAAACAAAAGATGGTTCATCGAGATCGAGCAACTGCCAAACACACAATGATTCATAGAAATCGAACACCTACCTACCGAACATCAATGGTGCTTAGAAATAGAACAACTGCATATCGCACAGTAACAAAAGCTTCGAATAGGCTGCCTGTTGTGATGCGGTATAATCCATTATTATTCTTGACGACTTTGTTAATGATTTAATTTCTTACTGATAAGAATGACGTAAATATGTTAAACTTTTTTGGTGACGTCACGTTGCCCCAGATCGCGAGAAACGAAATGTCGCTTAGAATAAGTTGCCTGTGTTGCAGAGATACATTCTATTTTTATTTTTGATTACGTATTCATATGAATTGTATTTGATAACAAATTATATTTTAAATCCTAAATATGTATCCAATGTACTTTTGTTGATGACATAACGTTGCCGAAGTTCGCTTGCAAGGAAATATTGTATGTGCCTTCGAATTGCAGAGCTTGCAATAAACGTAATATTTTTTAAAAGAAACTGTATTATTATTTACTCTTCCACCCCTTATAAAGTAAGACAGATACTTTGTACTAAAACAAAATCAGATTGCTTTGTAGACAGGTATTAAATGAAACTTTGATACGCTGAATATATAATTACTATAGTTATTCAAAGAATAGGCCAGTCAAATTAGTATTTCATCTCGAAATAAGAGATAATATTTTGCTATCTTATGGTTTCAACCAAATACTGACTTACTATTACAGTTAAACTTTAGTTTTGTAAAGCTTGACTTATAGACTCATTAAATCGCGTGACAGCGTTGTATGTCATTAATGGTCACAAAGAGCATAAAAATCCATTTTCGTAAAATTCTCGGTTTCTATCATTTCATTTTAGATTTAGAGATCGTAGAGAATCGAATTTGCGATAAATGTTGTAAATATATTTTGGTACTCAACTCTACCGTTGATGAAATTAGAAGACGAATATTTGTATAGATTGAAATTTCAACATTGATTTATAAGTGAATATTATCTTGTACAAAAATATGCATTATCTTAATACAAATCTCACCTAATAAGTTGTACTATATGTCAGTTTAAATTTTATTGGTAAAATAATTTACAAGTTATGCGAAGTATCACTATCGAGCTCTCAAAAACGACAGTATAAAAAAATAATAAAAAATGCTTTAAACCTCCACTCTATCCCTGGCATTCTGAGAGGGGACTCGAACCCGTGACCTTTCGCAATCCAGGGTACTGCTCTAACTACCGAGCTACCCAGGGTCTACAGGACTGTCGAAGTTTTCAAGCGCTTGTTACGTTTTCGCTACTACCAATCATATTTTCATTAATATTCAGGTAATCTACCCAAACAGACGAAAGAAATATATTTGCAAAATTTTGCATTCGCAATGCTATACAGAAAAATATTATAAATGAAAAATGCTTAGAAAATCCACTTTGTCCCTTTTATATCATAATGTGTCTAAAATTTCATTCTATATAATATCTTAATACACGATAACACCGTTGGCATAAGAATAACTGAGATAGATAATCATAAAAATTTATTACGTTATGACCCTCAGTAACTCGCGATGTAGATACTAGATTTTATGAGACTTCTGTGACAAAATTTAGAATGTTAAAATGAACGTATAAAACTGGTATAGTTTTCAGTTAATTATTTCCCATTTTATGGTTTGACCGCTATCGTGCTTATATAATTTACGTATGAATAATAAATGATAGTCATTTCGTTAAATTACTTGAAATTATCATTACAGTTGCATGGAATAAAGCTTGAAATCAATTCATTTACCGCTGTTGTGGTGTTAAAGAATAATTTTGCAATATTTTAAATCGTTTTCGAAACGAGAAACAATTTTAAATGAGCATTTACAAGTTACCCCGTAAAGGTTACGTCTCACACATTTGAAATCATCTAATAATACAATTCCTCGTAGCATGAGAACTTTTCGTCTACGTTTAAAAATCACCCATACAACATCTCATTCCCGACAGTAGAAAAATGACATTTGATATAAACAAAGTGTTTCTCGAGTTTGTCATGCTACGCGCGCTGTGGATTTAAAGTATATCTTGTTTAACATAACATAGAATTCGAATTTAATCCTATTTAGTTCGAATACCTTAATTTTGAACAACCGTTGAAGATAGTGTGCATGAATTGATTTCGCTATTCTAATGAACGCCAAACTTACATTCAATAACAAACAAAATTGTTATATGGTAAGGACCAATCGAAACTTTATGGTACCTCCTTGGATCCATTAACTTGAAAATAAATATGAAATTTAGAAAACGGTCTTTACTCCGCGAAGAAATCAGTGAAAAACAACATGAAATAAATACCAGTCGATCATAGAACATCACCCTCTTCTATTTTGATGTTTGTTGACGTCAATGAAGTAAAAATGTAAAGTAAACATCAATTACCAAATAGTATATAGTGTTATAAAAGTTATTTAAAATACGAGTGCGGAAAGTAAGGTTTTACGAATAAGGGCCAAATTGAAAACAGTAGCGTAGCGAGGGTTTTCATTGGCATGAATTCGAAAAACCTTTTACGCTCAAGTTTCTTACAACATTTTTCAATGCTTTTTGCGAGGAAATAAAACATATATAGGTTAATGAAACTAAGTATGTATAAAACGTAAAAATTATTTGTTAAAATTAAACGTGATATTTGAACATGTTTTCGTGTCATAAAGTTTTATTTGAAAATATTCGTTCTAGGTTCCTTAAAATACTTTTGCCTCTAAAGTTTGACATATTTTCAACATTTTTTTTTAAATTTCTTTGGTGCTCGGCGAAAAACGTTCACGTGTGCAGTAAAGGATTTCAGTACATTTTTATAAAAAAAAAAATTAAGCTAAAACATAAAATGAATTTCATTAGAAGCTTAAAGTTCTCAATCTGTAGATTCAAGAGTTATTTTATTTTGAAGTCATTTTAGCTATTTTTCTTCTGAGACTGAACGATTGATTGGCTCTACAAACTTTAGGGCACGTTTAGGGCAAGTTTGTAATCTTCCATGATGGCATCATAATGGCTATCCTTCATATTTACATACGCTTGATAACGAAGCTCATAACATCGCCAAAAAAAGCTTCATTTACAAAACTTGGATTGTTGTATTTTTATGCGTGTGTTTAGATTGTGGCTAATATACTTATTTATTTTATTGGAACAAATCAATCTGAATATGTACACCAAAGAATTAACCTGTTTCTTATTAACCTCATTTGCGTATAATTATGATTAACTAAACGTTTTTATAACTTGCAAACTTTCTATAACCTGCATAGCAAATTATAGTGAAATTTCTAATAGCGTAAATTCCATTATCGAACTGAAACTTGCTTAATTAATAATTATTTATCTATTATTTATTACAACACATAACAGGTTACAGACATATACATGAATTAAAGAAATTACATAATAATTAACTTGGTAATAACGTCTTTCTTTGAACTCTACGAAAATATAATGTAGATTTTACTGGTCTCAGAACTGTTAATAACAAATCCTTCAATTATTGGTAAATATATTATTCCGCTTGTAGAACGCTTTCGCGAAAGCGAAAAAGTATCAAACTGTAATAGCAAATCGCCGCATTATCTAAAGCCTCGCTGACCGATATGTCGTTTTTCCGTATTAATGTAATTAATATCTATTACCGAGTCATTTTATGAGTGTTTTTACGTAAACAATATTATAGATCAAAAAAGCTCCTATGATTTCCTTTGTATGCATCAATCTTCCTCATACATCTTGAAATTTATTTGAACCTCAAAGTTGTTAGATTGTTGTATATTTTTCTTAAATAATCAACGACATCTATTTAGATTAGAAACAAATAAGTGAGTCAACGGTTACCTAATTTCTTGCATTGTGATTAATAGTTATTACGAACACGTCTGCTTTAAATTGCCCTAATCTCATTAATTAATAATTGATTCCGAATATTTTGAGCATTTTTGTAATTAATTTAGACATTTTTTTTTTATATTATTAAACCCTTATTTTTTAATTGTTTTTCGATATTAAGTTTTGAAGTCGGTTTTAGGGCTTTTTTTTGTTACCTAACCATCTGTTATGGCTTTATAAACCTTAAAGCACGATTAGTTGGGAAAATGTCATTGTAATATGTATGGGTATCGTTCATGCGGGACTATTCTGCTAATGTTTACGCAATAATCGCATCTCAATAGAATCTTGCACTTTGCCGTTTTATATTGGACTTTAGGTATATAGTACAAAGGTAAAATTTGAGAACAGCAGAATTGACCTGCACTCTACATGAACCTAAGTGCAACGATAATATTAATCTGAGAATTCAAAAAATCTCATTGTTTGTATCTTGATTCTAATAAAAAAACTCCTTGATTTCAACTTACTTAATTGATTCCTTTGACCGCCATCCGCTAGGTGCCGCACAATGCATGTCCTAACTTTAAGAGTTGCTTAAAGTAGTTAAGTAGCTCATTGTCATTGGTGAAACGCAATTTGACAATGCCCAAATATTTATTGGTGTCAGATCTGGGCGACTCCTAAGTTTAGTGAAAACGGGCATTTATAGGGTCGTAAAGCCTCATTCCAATTGCATTAAATATGGATATTTTACATTGTATGTTACCTTTCAAAACCATTGATAGGAGCTCTCATCTGTTAAATGTTTCAAATACCACATTTTCATACAAAACAAAGAGAAAAAAAAAATGTTTGACAGTGGTGTTAAAATAAAAATAAAGAGCTTTACTGATTATTCACTCAACCTTTTGTTATGATTCCTTAAACCTTATCATGAAATATACCACGTTAATCTATTGTTGTATTGTTATTATTATTTCTCCTTTTTTCTGAGAAAATCATTGCACATTAATATTTATTAGCTAAGCTGATTATTGCAATACGTAGGTATTGCAATAATCAGCTTTTCAACTATACTAATAATCAAATTTTAATATATGTCTTTATTTTGAGAATGAATATAGAGTCGGTGTGGCAATGGTCGCACCTCCTGCCGCCACTGGCCTCCCGACTCAGATATAATCTGAGACTTTGAGAATAAATTGTTCTTACATCTTAGATTTACAAATATGTACTTGGTATGAAGTATTGTTGTTATAGGGAAGTTGTTAATACTTATTACAGCATTTGCCAGTTTCGCACTTGTCATGTTTTAAGTACTTATAAGTTCAGTTAAGTTAAGAAAGTAAGCTGACTATGGATAAGCACTAACCATTTGATAGTCAGGTTAGAAATAAATATGCTTCTCCTGATCAAGTATAATAGGTAGAAACCCAAAACATTTATTTTGCTAATTGAGAAACATTTTTTCTATTGCTAAATCATCACCAGTCTATTGATGTCCCCACTACTGGCGCTCAGGCCTCCCCGATGGATGGAATCGGATCGGATAGGGAGAGTTATATTGTTAACTGCTATGAATTATTGTCAAAGAATGCATATTGGCAAACAGTAATTATACTTTGCGCTATTTTATTAATATTTACTGTATAATCATGATATTTTAAATGATGGTTAGATGCAGTCGAAGTTTTCTTTTAATAATACGTCAAATGAGTTATATTGAGAAAGTTTTTACTTATAAATATCTGGGTAATTAAATTATAAGTTATGAAGAAGGCATGACATAACTAAATTTAATTTACATATAATTTTTAATTTGAACCACTAATTAAATAATTTTTGCACGTCAGTTTTTTAATGTCTTTACTAACTGATTCAATGATTCACAGATTACCAAAAGTCTATGATAGGTACTTTAAGAGGATCAACAAGTTCTAAAATTTTAAGGTAGTGTGTTATTATTAAGCTTATAAAAACATCATTGTCATTCTAAATTTATAGTCCAGTTTGAATTTGATTTTTTTACCTATAGTCTATCCGAATTCTATGCAGGATGTTTACTAATAAACTATTACCGAGCAACCAATGACAGGCACGGTAAGTTTGAGGTTTCCACCCAAAATTTGGTTTCTAATTATTGGTGTAATTAAAAAAATTATAACTCTATTTTTCGAAATTGTTTCGTTTTTGTTGGGCTCATTTAAGTTTTCTTTCTTTGTTTCTATCTCAAATGGAGTACATGAACTTTAGACCTACGAAATAAAATAAAAACCCACCAAAAATATATTATAAAAATGGGTGTCTCAATAAACTTGGTTTACATAGAATTGGCAACTTTGCGTGGCTTGTATGTTTCTTGGAATATTTATATTTGACGAACAAATATAAAATCCAAAGCGGCGTCGCTAACACATCAACTTATCCATGATAACAAGATTTACGAATCGCCTGCTTTTACATATCATTATTATGGAAGTATAAAGAAAACTTTAAAAAGAGGTATTTTAACACAAAAGATATGTGCTACCTTTTTGTCTTCACCAAAAAAAAAGATATTTATTATATAGAAAAATAAAAATAGGACGGGCGCTCTACCTGTTCTGTTAATGAAGCGCCCAACCTACCTAACGTGATATAAAAGAGGAGTTGCCCCACCAGCCCGCCATTACTTCGACACTCGTCGGCGTCGCAACACGTGTCGTAGCTCTTGCTCCGCGCTCAGTTTTCCAACTTTGTCTATACAAGATAGCCAGAATGCATTTTTGTATCAGTCAACTATATGATTGGTTGCATCATAAATCTGTGCCGACGGTTGACACTGGAAGCATTGCAGAGCAACCGCCGTTAACACCGCCGTCGGCACTACCGCCCAAGATTCCAATAGAAGAATTTGTGCATCATCTTCAGAAATACATTCTTACTAAAGCTATGATGTTGTCTCGTGGATTTCCGGTGGAAATGGACAGCATTTCGACAAAAGCAATTATGTTTGTAAGCCCGCCTACCAGGAATAAACTTTGGAAGCCGACTTATTTGAATGTGAACGCCAGTGAATTCGTGCCCCGCTCACAAAGTGACCAACGACCGCTGACTTCCTTGAATGCAAACGCTCCTACCTTTGTTCCGGAATCGCAAATGTTGTCTCGAGGTTGTCCAGTGGAAATAGACAGCAATGAGACACATGCAATTATGAATGTAAACCAGCCTACCCGGAGTAAACTTTGGAAGCCGACTTATTGGGATGTGAACGCCAGTGAATTCGTGCCCCGCTCACAAAGTGACCAACGGCCGCTGACTTCCTTGAATGCAAACGCTCCTGTCTTTGTACCCGGCCCGCAAATGTTGTCTCGTGGTTATACAGTGGAAACAGACAGCAATTCAACAAATGCAAATATGTATGTAAACCAGCCTACCCGGAGTAAACTTTGGAAGCCGACTTATTGGGATGTGGACGCCAGTGAATTCGTGCCCCGCTCACAAAGTGACCAACGGCCGCTGACTTCCTTGAATGCAAACGCTCCTGTCTTTGTACCCGGCTCGCAAATGTTGTCTCGTGGTTATACAGTGGAAACAGACAGCAATTCAACAAATGCAAATATGTATGTAAACCAGCCTACCCGGAGTAAACTTTGGAAGCCGACTTATTGGGATGTGGACGCCAGTGAATTCGTGCCCCGCTCACAAAGTGACCAACGGCCGCTGACTTCCTTGAATGCAAATGCTCCTATCTTTGTACCGGGCTCGCAATGGGATATGAACGTTCTCGAAGTTGTGCCCTGTCCTCAAACTGACAGTGGATTAAATTCTTGGAGTTCTTCTACACCTAGCTCTGATTGTGATGAAAAGGTGGATACAGTGGAACATCTTTGTGTGCGTTGTGATAGAAAATTCGAAATGACTCATGATGGGGACTATTTACGGGAAGAGTCGTGCGTTTATCACTGGGGTCGTGTTGCTGGAAACAAATTTGAATGTTGTTCTGAATATGTGGGGGCTAATGGCTGTACTACGTCTCGTTTTCATGTATGGAGTGGCACAAAACCCGGAATGAATGGACCTCTCGATGGATATGTGCGTGCGCGACATCGCCGCGGTGGAGCTTATGCACTAGACGCAGAAATGTGTTACACGACCGCTGGCCTCGAGTTAGCGTCAATAGTTTTCATAGCAATCGATGGTCACATTGTTTACAAAGAGTATGTGAAACCCACCTCGCCAGTTGTTGATTATAATACTCGTTTCTCCGGTATTCGACCCCACCACCTAGAAACAGCTACGAAGACACTGAAAGACGTGCAAAACGACATACTTGGATTTGTGGGCACAGACACAATTTTGATTGGTCACGCATTAGAGAACGATCTCAAGGCGTTAAAGTTGCTTCACAACGCTGTGGTGGATACGAGCGACTTGTATCCGCACCCAAGAGGACTTCCTTTGCGTCGATCACTACGTGCTTTATCGATCGAAATACTCGGACGTCCAGTCAAGGATAGAAGAAGTGGTGGTCATTCACCTGTGGAGGATGCCCGTACAGCTTTAGACTTAGTGTTTGTGTTGATTGATCGAGATCGAGCAACTGCCAAACAAAAGATGGTTCATCGAGATCGAGCAACTGCCAAACAAAAGTTGATTCATCGAAATCGATTAACTGCCCAACACAAAATGATGCATAGAAGTCGAACACCTACCTACCGAACATCAATGGTGCGTAGAAATGGAGCAACTACATATCGAACAGTAATGGTGTATATAAATCTTACAACTGCCTATCAAAATGTAACAAGCGCTTCGAATAAGTTGTCTCTTGTACAGCGATTATAATCCATTAATATTCTCGACGACTTAGGTAAGGACATAATTTGTAACTGATAAGAATGGTTGAAATATGTCAAATATACTATTTTGGTGACGTCACGTTACCCCAGATCGCGAGAAAGGAAATGTCGCTTAGAATAAGTTGCCTGTGTTGCAAAGATACATCTCATTTTTATTTTTGATTACTTTGTATTGATATGAATTGTATTTGATAACAAATTATATGTTAAATCCATACTTAATAAATTAAAAAAAATGTTTATAAAAATGTTTATATTAATAACACTGTTATGTATGATGTTATAATTTTTTGACCAAAAAATATACTTAAAACAATATGTATCCGATATTTAGTCCTGACACTTTAGATTATAATTATTTGCCATACAGATCTATATTATACATATTGACATTGTAAATTCAATAATAGTTAAATAACAAGACTATATAAATTTGCATGCTTGGTAATAGGTGAAACATGATGTACATATTACAAAATTTACTCTGTTATCTTATTAACCATGTTTGTGGCAAATAAATAAATGAAATGAAATCCAATGTACTTTTGTTGATGGCATAACGTTGCCGAAGTTCGCTTACAAAGAATTATTGTATGTACCTTCGAATTGCAGAGCTTGCAATAAACGTAATATTTTTTAAAAGAAACTGTATTATTATTTACTCTTCCACCCCTTATAAAGTAAGATAGATACTTTGTCAAATTTAGTTACTAAAACAAAATTAGATTACTTTGTAGACAGGTATTAAATGAAACTTTGATATGCTGAATATATAATTACTATAGTTATTCAAAGAAAAGTCCAGTCAAATTAGTATTTCATCTCGAAATAAGAGATAATAATTTGCTATGTTATGGTTTAAACCAAATACTGACTTACTATTACAGGTAAACTTTAGTGTTGTAAAGCTTGGCTTATAGACTCATTAAATCGCGTGACAGCGTTGTAAGTCATTAATGGTCACAAAGAGCATAAAAATCCATTATCGTAATTATCTCGGTTTCTATCATTTCATTTTAGATGTAGAGATCGTAGAGAATCAAATTTGCGATAAATATTGTAAATATATTTTGGTACTCAACTCTACCGTTGATGAAATAAGAAGACGAATATTTGTATAGATTGAAATTTCAACATTGATTTATAAGTGAATACTATCTTGTACAAAAATATGCATTATCTTAATACAAATCTCACCGAATAAGTTGTACTATATGTCAGTTTAAATTTTATTGGTAAAATAATTTACAAGTATTGCGAAGTTTCACTTTTGAGTTCTCTAAAACGACTAAGTATAAAAAAATAATAATAAATGCTATAAACCTCCACTCTATCCCTGGCATTCTGAGAGAGGACTCGAACCCGTGACCTTTTGCAATCCAGGGTACTGCTCTAACCGCTGAGCTACCCAGGATCTATAGGACTGTCGAAATTTTCAAGCACTTGTTATGTTTTTGCTACTACCTATTTTCATCAATGTTCAGGTAATCTACCCAAACAGACGAAAGAAATATATTTGCAAAATTTTGCTTTCGCAATGCTATACAGAAAAATATTATAAATAAAAACTGCTTAGAAAATCCACTTAGTTACTTTTACATCATAGTGTGTCTGAAATTTTATTCTATTTAATATCTTAATACACGATAACACCATTGGCTTAAGAAAAACCGAGAAAAATAATCATAAAAATTTATTATGTTATGTATGACCCTCAGTAACTCGCAGTGCAGATACTAGATTTAATGAGACTTCTGTGACAAATTTAGAACGCTAAAATGAACACATATAACTGGTATAGTTTTCAGTTAATAATTTCCCATTTTATGGTTTGACCGCTTTTGTGCTTATCTGGATTGGAACTGATACTCTCGAAGTTGTCGATCACTACGTGTACTTTAGCCAGACGATCCAGTTAGGTAGATCCAATTTCGACAAAGAGGTCGCTCGAAGAATCCAAATTGGCTGGGCAGCGTTCGAGAAGCTACGCGATATCTTCACGTCCAAATTACCACAGTGTCTAAAGACGAAAGTGTATAACCAGTGTATGTTGCCAGTGATGACCTATGGCACTGAAACGTGGTCCTTAACTGCTGGCCTTTTAGAGAAGCTCAGAGTCGCTCAGCGAGGCATGGAGAGAGCTTTGTTAGGTGTTTCTTTGCGCTATAGGATCCGAAACGTGGATATTCGCCAAAGAACTAGAGTGACCGACATAGCTCGCAAAGTTTGTAAGCTGAAGTGGCAGTGGGCAGGCCACATCGCTCGACGAACCGAAAACCGATGGGAACAAAAGGTTTTCGAGTGGAGACCACGAACCGGAAGACGCAGCGTGGGTCGACCCACGACTAGATGGACGGACGACATCGTACGAGTCGTGGGCGGCCGCTGGATGCAGCTGGGGCAACCTCATCCGTCGTGGCATTCAAAGGGGGAGGCCTATGTTCAGCAGTGGACGTCTTCCGGATGATGATATGTGCTTATCTTACTGAGTTACACTCAATATTTGGTGGTACGATCTTTTAATTTTTTTTTATCTAGTCTTTTAAACTTACGTATGAATAATAAATGATATTCATTTCGTTAAATCACTTTAAATTATCGTTGCAGTTGCATGCATTGAATTATGCAGAAAGTGGGTATTTGTTATCGTTATTATTGCTCTGAACGGAAATAGCCTATACAGTCACCTCTGTCTTCAGTTGTAGGCGGCAATAAGATTTAAAACGAGTAAATAAAAAAATAAAAAACAATTACATAACTACAACCTAGCTGAAGTAGTGGATAAGCGCCGCGGCCCACGATTGTTGTCGTTAAGCAACTTTCGCAAGGGTCGGTCACGGGATGGGTGACCAAAAAAATATTATCTCGAGCTACTCCGTGCTTCAGAAGGTACGTTAAGCCGTTGGTCCCGGCTGCATTTGCAATCGTTAATACCCTCCAATCCAAAATCAATCCTCCAATCTGTAACAAAAACGAAAAATAATCATTATAAACAGACGGTTAACAAATTGAAGAAAATTCATTTTAAGTCGAGCGCTGCAACACATAATTCGATTTCGAATTCAAATGAAGTTTAAAATTAATTCACTTACCCCTGTTGTGGTGTTAAAGAATAATTTTGTAATATTTTAAATCGTTTTTGAAACGAGAAACATTTTATATTAGCATTTTTAAGTTACTCCGTAAAAAGTTACCGCACACAAAAAAAAATACAGTTGAATTCAGAACGTCCTGTTGTATTTTGAAATCATGTAATGCAATTCCTCGTAGCATGAGAACTATTCATCTATGCTTAAAAATCACCCATACAACATCTCATTCTCAACAGTAGAAAAATGCCATTTGATATAAACAAAGCGTTTCTCGAGTTTGTCATGCTACGCGCGCTGTGGATCTATAGTATATTTTATTTGACCTAACATAGCTCTCATTGAATTCGAATTTAATCCTATTTAGTTCGAATAACTTAATTTTGAACAACCGTTGAAGATAGTGTGCATGAATTGATTTCGCCATTCTAACGAACGCCAAACTTACATTCAATAACAAACCTTATCGTTGTACGGTAAGGACCAATCGAAACTCACGGTACCTCCTCGATTCCATTACCTTGAATATAAATATGAAATTTAGAGATCGGTCTATAATTCGCGAAGAAATCGATGAAAAACTTCTTAAAATTAATACCAGTCGATCATAGAACATCACGCTTTTGAATTTTGAAGTTTGTTGACGTCAATAACGTAAAAATGTAAAGTAAATATCGAATACCAAACTGATGTCGGTGACCCTTAGATTACAATATGATAGTAAATTTACCACAAAAAATAACATTATTTTTATAGTGTTATAAAAAAAAATTAAACTTCAAAGAAACTATAAAATAAAATGAAATTCATTTGAAGCTAAAGTTCTTAATCTCTTGCTATTTTTTTCTGTCACTGAACGACTCATTAGCTCTGCAAACCTTAAGGCACGAATAGTTTGTAAACTTCCATGATGACATCATAATGGCTATCCTTCATGGTGACATGCGCCTGATAGCGAAGCTCATAACGTCGCCAACTAAAGCTTTATTTACAAAACTTGGATTATTGATTTTTTTTATGCATGTGTTGACATTGTGGCTAATATACTTATTTATTTTATAAGAAGAAATTAATCTGAAAGTGTACACAAAAGAAATAAACCATCATTATTAAATTACACTCATTTGCGTATTATTATGATTAACTAAACGTTTTTATAAGTTGTTACTATAGCAAATTATAGTAAAATTTCTAATTGCATAAATTCTATTATCGCACTGAAACTTGCTTAGTTAATAATTATTATAATTATTTATCTATTTTTATTACAACACATAACAGGTTACATGAATTCAAGAAATTGTATAATAATTTACTTAGTAATAACGTCTTTCTTTGAACTCCACGAAAAAATATAATGTAGTTTTGACTAGTCTCATAACGGTTGTATAACAAATCCTTCTATTTTGGGTAAACATATATTTCCACTTGTAGAACGCCTTTGCGAAATCGAAAAAGTATCAAATTGTTATAGCAAATCGCCGTATTATTTAAAGCCTCGCTGGCCGAGATGTTGTATTTACGTATTAACGTAATTAACATCTATTACTGAGTAATTTTATGAGTTTTTCTAGGTAAACAATATTAGAGATCGAAAAAGCTCGCGTGATTTCCTTTGTTGTTGTTGTGTTGTATATTTTTCTTAAATAATCAACGAAAACTATTTTAAAACACAGAAGTGAGTCAACGCTTACCTAATTTTTTGCGTTGTCATTAATGGTGAATGCGAATAAATACATTATTACATTTCATTATTTCCTTCTGTGCCAACCCTATCAGAATTGGTATTTATTTTGAACGCTTTTTAGAAAATGAGTCACTGTACTTCTTTATTCGTGTGTTTATGGTGCATTTTCAGTGGAATAATAACAATTGAAGCCCGTGGCATTTAATTTTTAGTGTTCAGTACGGTGACCCGCATAACCTCATTGCATTAGACTTAAATACAAATATTTCACATTGTATTTTACCTTTCAAAACCGCTGATAAGAGCTTTCTTTTGTTTAACTTTCAAACATCCCATTTCTATATAGAGAACGGGAATAATACTTTGACAATGGCATTAAATTTACAGAGTTTTACTGATTATTGGCTTTGTTATGATTCCTTGAAACTCAACATTAAATATACCACACGAACATATTGTTGTATTGTTACGAGGGTCAAACTGAAAGTTCTTAGAACTGGCCACTTATAAACAATATAATAAAAAAATAATTCTTAAATTTGAAAATATAACTCTTTGCCAATATTACTGAGTATATATTTCATTCATTTGTCATTTGTTTTACGATTTGGCGGCAAATTGAAAATTGTCTGTGTCACGTCATCATGAATTTAACACGAGAAAATTTTCGTGCAATGATTTTTTATGACTTTCGATGTCATTTAAGTCAACAAGAAAGTTATGATAGACTACGATTGGCCTTTCACGATGAAGCCCCATCTCGTGCGACTGTTTACAACTGGTTTAATGAGTTTAAACGTGGTCGCACTAATCTCACTGATGATTTACGTGAGGGACGGCCTTCTACGGCGACGACTGAAGA